GACAGAGAGAGACACAGCGAGAAAGGGAACAGAAGCAGGGGGAGTGGGAGAGGGAGAAGCAGGCTTCCCGCGGAGCAGGGAGCTCGATGCGGGGCTTGATCCCAGGACCCTGGGATCATGACCTGAGCCGAAGGCAGACGCCTAACGACTGAGCCACCCAGGCACCCCATATTTATTTATTTGTTTATTTTAGAGAGCAAGAGAGCACATGAGAACACGAGTGGAGTCGGGGGCGGGAGAGGAGCAGAGGGAGAGGGTCAAGCTGACTCCATGCTGAGTGTGTAGCCCAACTCAGGGCTTAATCCCACGAGCCTGAGATCATGACCTGAGCTGAAATGAAGAGTTGGACGCTTAACAACTGAGCCATCCAGGCACCCCAAGAGGCAATTTTTAAAAAAAACAGTGACTTCAAACATTAAATATGTATAAAAATACACTCCATCCATTATTTAGAACAAAAATATTTTAAACAAAAGTTAACTGGTAGTGCATAAAAGTTTCTCTTGAAAACGTACAAACTGGGGCGCCTGGGTGGCTCAGATGGTTAAGCATCTGCCTTCAGCTCAGGTGATGATCCCAGGGTCCTGGGGTCGAGCCCCACATCGGGCTCCTGGTTCAGTGGGGAACCTGCTTCTCCTTCTCCCTCTGCCTCTCTGCCTGCTCATGCTCTCTCTCTCTGTATCTCTGTGTCTCAAATGAATAAATAAAATCTTTAAAAAAAAAAAAAACGTACAAACTATTTCACAGTACACCTAATGTTGTCTTCATGATAAGCTGAAACAAGTATAATAACCACACAAAATACTGTTAAGTTACTGCTTATCTAACAAATACTGGGAAAGGTGATATTCTGGTTAACTGATTATACCCAACCGTACTTGATATGGTTAGTAAGCGGCCAAACTAGGTAAGTTGGATTTCAAAGCCTATGCTCATAACCACCATGCATACTACCTCTCTACAAAACTATTATCAAATGAATATGGCAATGCAAAAACATACTTGTCTGTTTACCAAAAGGCATGTGGACTCTGCTCAAGTTCACATAAATTCACACTATTCACAATCTTTATTACTGAAGAATTAGAAAAAAACTACTTCTTAAGGCTTTCAAAGCCTTCAGAAAATGTTCTTGATCCCGAGCTAAATATTAGAATGATGTCAACTTATTTTACCATTTGAAGAGTTTGTTATTTATAATACTAAAGGTCTTCTTTGCACTTATTGTAGGACCTGACTGAATAGGACACTTAGAGCCAGTAATCAAAAACTTTTATGCCATCAATAACTGACATTTATAATTAGATTTGCATATATACTTTTTTTTTTTAATCCCCCTTCAGTCTTCCCTGCACCTACCTCCCCTCTGGCAATCATTAGTTTGTTCTCTGTATTTAAGAGTCTGTCTTTTTTTTTTTTTCTTTCTTCATTTGTTTTGTTAGAACTTATTTACATCATTTTTAAATTCTAACAGTTATTTTTTTTTAAGTTTTACTTAAATTCCAGTTAACATACAGTGTAATATTAGTTTCAGATATACAACATAGTAATTCATCAATACCATACATCACCTGTTGCTCATCAAGACAAGTGCACTCCTTAATCCCCATCATCTATTTAACTCCTCCCCCACCCCCACCGTAATCATCAGTTTGTTCTCTATAGTTAAGAGTCTACTTCTTGGTTTGTCTTTTTTGCCCCCACCCCTTTACTCATTTGTTTTCTTAAATTCCACATATGAGTGAAATCATATAGTATTTGTCTTTCTCTGACTTATGTCTCTTAGCATTACAGCCTCTAGGTCCATCCATGCTGTTACAAATGACAAGATCACATTCTTTTTTACGGCTAATGATCCATTGTGTGTGTGTGTGTGTGTGTGTGTGTGTGTGTCTCACATCTTCTTTATCCATTCATCTATCAAAGGACACTGGTTGCTTCCATATCTTGACTACTATAAATAATGCTGCCATAAACAAAGGGATACACAGATCTTTTCAAATTACTGTTTTCATATTCTTTGGGTAAATATCCAGTAGTGGAAATCATAGCATACTTCTATTTTTAATTTTTTGAAGAACTCCCATACTGTTTTTCACAGTGGCTGCACTAGTGTACAAGGGTTCTTTTTTCTCCATATCCTTGCTAACACTTGTTATTTCTTATGTTTTTTATTTTAGCCATTCTGACAGGCATAAGGTGACTTCTCACTGTGGTTCTGATTTGCATTTCCCCGATGATGAGTGATGCTGAGCATCTTTTCATGTGTCTGTTGGCCATCTGTACGTCTTCTTTGGAAGAATGTCTCTTCAGGTCCTCTGGCCAGTTTTAAAATCAGATTTTTTTTTGGTGTTGAGTTGTATAAATTCTTTATATATTTTGGATATTAACCCCTTACTGGATATATCACTTGCAAATATCTTCTCCCACTGAGTAGGTTGCCTTTTTGTTTTGTTGATGGTTTCCTTCACTGTGAAAAGTGAAGATTTGCATATATACTCTTAACTACTATTGAAAAAAACCCACACATCAGTCTCTTAATATTTCAAATAGAAAAGATCATTAAAACTATTTTTAAATGTAGTCTTTCTCATGACCAAAATATCATGTATAAACATCGATTAAATGATACTTTCCATCAATGGAATGTAAGATAAAAAGTATATAGGCTTATACCTTCATAACTACAGTAATAGAAAACATTGAGTGCTTCCACTGCCGCTGGCCCCCTCTGTTTATAGCCAAAAATCAGATCTATCCATTCATGAAGATGAGCAGAAACATATTCAGACTCCTAGAAAAAGAACAAATAATATAGAGATACCTTCCAACTACAATGTAAATATTGGTCCTTTAAAATAAGGTAAGAGAAAATTAAGCATTTCCACGCACAAATCTTATCACTGTTAATAAAATTATCTCAAAATCACGTTAAACATTCAATCAGTATCTACCACATATTTTGGATATATTCTATCGAGGATAATGTAGACATATTTATTAATTTTTTTTGAAGATTTTATTTATTTATTTGACAGAGAGAAACACAGCGAGAGAGGGAATACAAGCAGGGGGAGGGGTAGTGGGAGAAGCAGGCTTCCCACTGAGCAGGGAGCCCGATGCGGGATTCGATCCCAAGACCCCGGGATCATGCCCTGAGCTGAAGGCAGACACTTAACGACTGAGCCACCCAGGCGCCCCATTTATTAATATTTAATAATACATATACACCTCTTAACTAATGGGTAAAGAAAATAACTCAAGTATTCTAATAGCCTAAATATCAACAACAAAATACTTAATAATGGCTATGGATATATATTTGCTGTGAAATTTCCACTGAAATAGCTATCTAGAATTCAATTCAAAGAAACAAACCAGTTGGGGTTGATTAAAGGTGGCTGAAAATCACCCCTCCAACCTACCCGACCCGACACCACCCCACTAAGAAGGTGGACTGTTTGGCAGGCAGAGCCTTGAAGGACCTCCTGAAGCCTGTTAGTGATGGTTTGAAAAAGGTATGGGAATTGTTATTGGAGACAGTAGAAAAGGGGGCTCAAGTTTAGTTCCATCAAAGATAGAAAGAGTACCTAATCAACTCATGAATCTGGGGATAGAGATTTTTTTTTTGGTTTCTATTTTAATTCCAGTTGGTTGATATACAGTGTAATATTAGATTCTGGTGTACAACATAGTGATTCAACATTTCCACACAATGGGTGGGGGGAGGGGTTAAATAGGTGATGGGGATTAAGGAGTGCATTTGTTGTGATGAGCACCTGGGTGTTATCTGGGGATGGAGATTTTCCTGCTAATTGGATCTTTTAGCAGCCTGTGATAAAGTGTGGAAGGAGTAAGATGAATTTAAAAAAAGAACTATTCATGGGGCACCTGGGTGGCTCAGTGGGTTAAGCGTCTGCCTTCGGCTCAGGTCATGATCCTAGGGTCCTGCTCCAGTACTGGCTCCCTGCTCAGCGGGGAGCCTGCTTCTCCCTCTCCTCCCTGCTCATGCTTTCTGTCGCTATCTCTGTCTCTCTCTCTCAAATAAATGAATAAAAATCTTAAAAAAAAAAAAAGCTATTTAGGTTTTAAGCATAACTTTAAAAAAATATAAAGGAGCAGGTCTTGCTGGCTTCCAAATAAAATTATTTCTCATTCGGGCGCCTGGGTGGCTCAGTTGGTTAAGCGACTGCCTTCGACTCAGGTCATAATCCTGGAGTCCCGGGATCGAGTCCCGCATCGGGCTCCCTGCTCGGCAGGGAGTCTGTTTCTCCCTCTGACCCTCCCCCTCTCATGCTCTCTCTCTCTCATTCTCTCTCTCAAATAAATAAATAAAATCTAAAAAAAAAAAAAAGTTAAAAAAAAATTATTTCTCATTCCCAGGATACTAGAGAGCAAAGACTCTCTAACTGAGAAATGGCCAAGGTCAATGATCAAATCAGGGTGTCACCAGTAAAATATGGCCTCAGGCGAAAGTTTAGTTCAAGAGTGTGGCTGTGAAGCAATCTGCTGAGACTTCAAAGATTTAAGGTTGTGCTGCACAGACCCACTCAACTAGAAAATAGAACATCTTAAGAATCTTATTTCCACAGTAGCCTCCCACTGGGCCCAAAGGAAATAAGAGGCTGTTTAGATTCTAAAGTAATGTGAAATGGTTTTTATCCAATAAAGTTGATGCATAAGAAACCCAGAAAAATTTAAAAGATATTGTATTAGTTCAGTTAGTTCAGACTGAAAGAGACAAACTTCGAAAAGGATGGGACCGTTGGCTTTCAATTTACTGTGGTTAGGTAAGACGCTGACAAAGATACTCATGCACTTTTTTTTTTTTTTAAATGTAAAAGAAACAATGACTCAAAGCAGGAAGCTAAGAGCCAAAGGGTAAAACAAAATAGCCATAGAGAACCACTCCTAGGGAATAGCACTGGGCCCTAATGAAAGAACTGAAAGCATGTCCCTGCTGGAATTCTGAATTGTTATAAAGCAGTTACTGCTAGGTACCTCTTGTTTTTCTTTCCCCCACCTTTTTAAATTAAATTCTATGCCCAACGTGGGGCTCAAACTCATGAACCAAGAGATCAAGAGTCACATGCTCTATGGACTGAGCTAGCCAGGCACCCCTTCTAATCTCCCTTTTGAATGAGAGTGTCTATGATAGTTCTTCTGTCTCTGTCATAACACTGTTGTTATGTGGGGACAGATAACCTGTTTCTCTACTCCACAGTCTTCAGATGCAAGAGCAGACAAACCTGAGTAGTTTTGTGCCCACATGGATTTAATTTAGATTACTAACAAGATTCTGGACTTCAGACCTCATGCCTTCATGAGGCATGGATCAGCAAATTACTTACTGCTTGTGGGCCAAATTTTACTAGCTCCAGATTTGTATAGTAGTACAACAAAACCACATCCATTTTCTTTTGCATTATAATGGCAGAATTTTGACACAGACCTTAAAGCCAGCGAAAATATTTACTACCTGGTCCTCTATAGAAAAAGTTTTCAAGGGCACCTGGGTGGCTCAGTCGGTTAAGCGTCTGCCTTCGGCTCAGGTCATGATCCCAAGGGTCCTGGGATAGATCCCCGCATCAGGCTCCCTGCTCAGCGGGGAGCCTGCTTCTCCCTCTCCCACTCCCCCTGCTTGTGTTCCCTCTCTCGCTGTCTCTCTCTGTTAAATAAATAAATTAAATCTTTAAAAAAAAAAAAGTTTGCAGATCCCTTACTTAAAGGTCCCTGACATGAGACTTTGGGAGGATCTTGAGAGGAAGTATGTACATTTTGCATGTAAGAGGAATGCAAATAATTTGTAGTCAGAGGGCACACTGTATGTGGAGGATTAAAGATGGTTGCAAATTCTTTTTTGCAACCTCCCACCACTGAGAGATGGAGTTTACCTTCCCTCCTCTTGAATCTGCACTGATCCTACTACTGTATGACTCTGACAAGGTGACACAAGTGCTGTGACCGTTCACAGGCTTAAGCCTTAAGAAAGCATGGAAGCTTCCAATTTTGTACTCTTTCCTGAGCTGTAGACATGTACATGTCTGACTAGCTAGAGAGGCCACATGAAGAGGAGATATCCTGAGATTACATGGGAAGGAAGAAAAGCCCAGCATTGCATTGTCTCACTCAGTGCAGCCTCCAGATGACTCCAACCTCAACTGCTATGACTGCAAGGGCATGAGAACCTCAAGCAAGATGAGAACTGCTCAGTTGAGACCAGTTAATTCACAGAACTGTGAGAGATAATAAAATGACTAAATTTTAAGCCACTAAATTTTGGATAGTTTATTGCACAGCAATACATAACTGAAACACAGGCTTCTAACATATTAATATAAGGAGCATGTCTTCCCAAAATCCTGGACCCCTACACTTCATGTCATAGGTAATACAGAGGAATGCATCTGAGAAGTTCCTGGCTATCTAATCAGTAACAGATTTTTTCTGAGTTGCTTAATGTTTTTTCCAATTCCTTATTCATGCATAGTGTTACTGCTTACAAATATTATGATCTAATCCTGAATTTTATAAATTTGACATACTATATACTAATGACAAGGAACGTTTCCAAGTATTGGCCTAATTAGTTTCAGACTCCGAAACATTTCAGTTTAGATAGAGAACTAAGTGGACTATTGTAGGGGGAAAAAAACGCATCATTTACAAAATGACACAATATCAGTGTTTAACTCTCACTACTCTTTTTTTTTTTTTTTAAGATTTTATTTATTTGACAGAGAGAGACACAGTGAGAGAGGGAACACAAGCAGGGGGAGTGGGAGAGGGAGAAGCAGGCTTCCCGCTGAGCAAGGAGCCTGATGCGGGGCTCGATCCCAGGACCCTGGGATCATGACCTGAACTGAAGGCAGATGCTTAACGACTGAACCACCCAGGCGCCCCTCTCACTACTCTTTTAATCCCAAACTGGAAATTCAACTAAAAACTAACATTTTTTTAAAGTGGAATTTAGGATTTAGCAGTCGTATTAAAAACTTACTGAAATCCTTCAGAGAAAACAAAAATGTACTCATCCTTGTTAGATTTTTTTTTTTTAAAGATTTTATTTCTTTATTTGAGAGAGAAAGAGAGCACAAGCACAAGCCGGGGGAGGGGAAAAGGAAGAGGGAGAGAGAATCTCAAGCAGATTCCACACTAAGCATGTAACCTGACAAAGGGCTTGATCCCAGGACCCTGAGATCATGACCTGAGCTGAAATCAAGAGTTGGACACTTAACCGACCAAGCTACCTAGGAGCTCCCTCATCCTTGTTAGATTTGAAACAAGTGGGAACTGCAAAACACCAAACGACACCAGCTTGATGGTTGGAATAGTTTAAAATACAACAGGCAGTTATCTTATAGAACTGAATATATATATATATATGTTTTTTTGCTATATATCCTTGGGACTATACTATATTCTTACTGTATCAGAAGATTCAGAACCTCAAAATAAATTACCATATTATACTCTCTACAACGGTATACATAACAGATGACAAATTAATCTAGAAAAATAATTAATAGCCAGATATACATCAATCTATTCTCTAGAAAACACACGCATCTCTATCTTAGTGATCTAATAAATAAATACAAAAATCTGAGGTGCCTGGGTGGCTCAGTTGGTTAAGCGGCTGCCTTCGGCTCAGGTCATGATCCCAGCGTCCTGGGATGGAGTCCCGCATTGGGTTCCTTGCTCAGCGGAGGGCCTGCTTCTCCCTCTCCCTCTGCCTGCTGCTCTGCCTACTTGTGCTCTCTCTCTCTAATAAATAAATAAAATCATTAAAAATAAATAAATAAATAAAAATAAACACAAAAGTCTTACCAGAGCTTTCCTATGTTTATAGATGAAATCTTCAGCTGACTTAGCCCATTTGGGGAGAATGACATCATTTACTACTTCTTTGGAAACTTGTAGACAACCCAAGTTAAATTCTAAGACAAATAAAAGATAAATGCATCAAATCATTTTAGATTTAAATAAATCAAGTAAAACAAGTATAAGGGCACAATCCTTAGCAAAACTGAGGCTTCTTTTCTTCTCTAAAAGGTGAGAACCAAGTTCCCTTCTTGATCTAAATTTACTGAACAGGTAAAAATAATTCTTATATTGAAATGCATTTTATCAGTTGATTAAAAAGGTAAATGAAAATAAAACACTTTCAAATTAGTTATTACAAAGTAAATCAGATTAACAATTGATTTTTGGTTGAGAAGTGGGGATGACCAAAATCTTAACCTACACAAAAATGCAATATTCAGTATTCTTCTTACATTAAAAATAATTAATATAGTCCTTCTAATGGTTAATTTACAAAATACAGCTCCTAGCGCTTTTCAGTGTAACTTACTTTAAATTCACTCAGTGGAAGTGTTGTATTTGTCATAATAAAAAATATATATTTGTATACCATTCTTCTAAGTAGACACTGATATCATAAAGATTTGCTCATATAATTAAAATACAGTATTTTGACAAAATTGTCCCAAAGATGAAGTTTTCTTGTTTATATAGTGTGGAAAGAGAAAAGTGTTAACATAAAAGACCTTCATAAAAGAAGCTGTCTTAAAATATCAGTGTGTCCCAAAGCTGAATAGAGAGGTCTGAATGTCATAGAATGACAGGATGCACAGGGCCTGTGGCTTTGTTAATGAAACTACTGTGTAACAGACATTGTTGCCAACCTGCTAGCCATCCCTCCTTATTTGGTAACAGAACCTTGATTTTATTCAAGTATCCATCCTTGTGCTTTATTTTATGCCTGTAGCAGGCTGACTGGTATAAGGACAATGAGGAGACGTTATAGGAAAGGATTTCTCACTCTTAAGAAATGACACAAATAATTAACAATCCACTTCTTTCTAAGACACTATTGTATCTGCCTATGAAGCCTAGAAATGCTTCAGTCATTTGTAACCACGAGAGGGAAGGAGCCAAGGACAAAGCCCAAACACTTCGAACAGCAGAATGAAAATACAGAAAGAACTTGGCTTTGATGATGTTGTTAAGCTACCTGAATACTACCATACCTTACGGTTTTCATTGTGGAAAATACTAAAATTTTCTTGCACAATTTTGAGTTGGTTTTATTAATATTTGTTTTACTAATTAATATTTGTTGACATTCTAAGTAATGTACTTTGCTTTCTCCCACCTAACTCATTTCAAAGAAGCAATATACAATTAGAAAAGGAAGCCAGCAGGACAGCAGTGTAACACAACAACTTGCTCTAGCGAACATCAGAAATTGTCAAACTAAGAGTATCTTAACTTCTGTGTTCAAATTTAATCTGCTCATCCTCCTAGCCCAGACACCCTGCTTTGGAGGCTCCAGTCCTATGGCTAAGAGTCTAGGCTCAGAGTCCGTCAATAGAGTCATTTGATTTTCTGAAAGTGACCAATTTTATTTTATTTATTTATTTTTTTAAAGATTATTTATTCATTTGAGACACAGAGAGAGAGAGAGCATGAGCAGGGGGAGAAGCAGGAAGAGAGGGAGAAGCAGGCTCCCCACTGAGCCAGGAGCCTGATGCGGGGCTTGATCCCAGGACCCTGGGATCAGACCTGAGCCGAAGGCAGACGCTTAACCATCTGAGCCACCCAGGCGCCCCTGAAAGTGATCAATTTTAAGTGCCTTACTCTGAGAAATCAGATGCCCTGCCTCCAACAGCATGTCTCAGGGTGCATGATCAGAGGACATAAAGCCCCGGATATGCTCTCCCTAGTGTGGCAAACAACTCTACTGAAGAAGCAAAGGGTCAAACATTAATACTTCATACTAAGGGAGGAAAAAGAAGTTGGTAATGGTCCACTGACACTGTAATTTCCCTTAAGAACCCCGGTAGTAACCATCTTGCATTTTCTTAGTGTGCTTAAAAATAAATCTAAAATTACTTCATAGAGGAAGTACTTGGATATTTTTAAAGACTGTCTTTGGCTCCATAATTCTCTACTGCAAAAACATAATATGATTTTTCAAATATTGTGGCAACTTATACCCTGTCATTAATTTCAATTTGCCTCCTCCCTTCTGCTCTAAACCAGGAGTCAGCCAACTTTTTCTATGAAGTGTCAAAGAATAAATATTTTTTGCTTTTTAAACCCCTGGTCTCTGTTGCAACTACTCAAATATGCTGTTATGTTATGAAAGCAGCCACAATCTGTATGTAGATGAATTGGCTTGGCTGTGTTCCAGCAAAATTTTATTTATAAACAAATGAGTTTACACCCTGTGGATCTGACCCACGACTTATAGTCTGCAAACCCCTGGTCTAAATCCTCATCTTATCTAACTCAAACACTTCTTTTTTTTTCTTCCCGCCCCTAACTCAAAAACTTTTAGCCTAAGTGGATAGCTATATGGCTGAAATAGCATATGGCCATTTTTGCTTTCTAGGAAACACTATACTCTGAATTCTCTCACCAATTCAAATTTGACTCATTTATCATGGTTCACCACAGCACTTCCCTGGAAAGTAAGACTATATCTGGGCATCAGTCAAACCCTCTCAATGAACAGTGCACAGACAGAATGAACCTTAAATAATCTATAGAATATCATAACAATATCCTGAAAGGTATTTTTCAGGATCCTTCACTGGGACCTGTTGAGTCAAAATTTTTAATCTCTTATTTCTTACGATTTTGATTTTCCAAAAACTCTGGGAAATAGAAGAATTCAGGAATAAGTTCCTTCACATCATATGGGTTGTCCATGAGAGCCTGCCATGTGGCGGGGATGGAATGGAACTGTCGATCTGCACAGTCAAACCTGCACGTGGAGATTGACAGAGAACAGTGAGTACTTAAGGACAGCAGCAACAGCCATGAAACAAACCTTACACCTCCTTCAGGTTTCCTAATGACTAGAGTTTCTCTTTCGTTAATCTTTCTCTTAATGTCTAAAAACACCATTTGGGAGGCACCTGGGCGGCTCAGTCAGTTAAGTGTCTGCCTTCGGCTCAGGTCGTGATCCCGGAGTCCCGGGATGGAGCCCCGCCTCGGGCACCCTGCTCAGCAGGAAGCCTGCTTCTCCCTCTCCCACCCCCCCTGCTTGTGCGCCCTCTCTCTCCTGTCAAATAAATAAATTCTTTTAAATAAAATAAAATAAAAACACATTTGTTTTTCCTTCTTATGATAATCTATCTTTCAAATTTTGTTGCCAGGAACTAAATACTGTAACTTTAATCACTAGTATCATTTTATTTAAAAGAGCTGAAAACCAAATCACACTGGAGAAAATTTTCAAGTAATTAAATGTAAACCTAAGAGACTTTTAAAGAAAGGCCTAATTTTTGCTGAGTAAAATTCATTACCGAGAGTGAATAAACATTATTCGGATATTTTAGAATCACAGAATTTAAATATCATTGTTAATATACATGATTAACAGATCCATAGGAATGCTGCTGATTTAATCCTCTATACATAAACACCTTTGCAAACTCTTCTGCTAAAAACCAGAGGGTAAGTTAGGGAAATAGTTCTGTGGCTAAAGCTTTTTATATTTTACTTGCATGTACTATTATTTTAAAGTTCCACCACAGGCCTATGGTAGTTGCAAGAAGGTCAAGTAGTCACGTTATAATTTTATTATACTGTTTTTATTTATTTGTTTTATTCACAAAAAGCATAACCCCTCTGTTTCATCACCTTTGATATTGTTTTCCTGGATTTACCTAGTAATGACTTACTAAATGACACTGATGACTATTTTGACTCTTTTTATGCCTACCAGTCTTGGTTTGAGGTGGAGCTGAACTTAGCAGAACTCTGAGTTTAATTACAGTCAATGTTGGGTCATCAATAAAGTCTAATAATGGTGTATCCAAATTTAAGGAGATAGAGTTTTTTTTAAATTTTTTATTGTTATGTTAATCACCATACCTTTAAGGAGATAGAGTTTTAATGGTAGAATTTTTTGTTTGGGTAAGGGAGAACAGCTTTCCTGAGATATAATTTACATATAATTCACAATTCAATGATTTTCAGTATATTCATGAGTTGTGCAACAATCACCACAATCAAATTTAGAACATTTTCATCACTCCAAAAAGAAACCCTGCATCTATTAGCAGTCACTCGCCATCCACTCTATCTCTACTCTCTGGCAACTACTAATCTACTTTCCGTCTCTATGGATTTGTCTCTTTGGGACGCTTCACGTAAATCATACAACATGTGGCTTTTTATGTCTGGCTTATTACATTTAGCATACTGTTTTTGAGGATCATTCATGTCGCAACATATATCTATCCTTCATTCCTTTTATCTACTCATGGCCAAATAATATTCCCATTGTACAGATATACTACATTTTATTTATTCCTTTCTCACCTGACAGATAAACAACCTTTGGGCTGTTTTTACTTTTTGGCTATTACAAATAATGCTGCTATGTACACCTGTCTACAAGTTTTTGTATGAACATATGTCTTCAATTATTTTGGATATATAGCTAGGAGTGGAATTACTAGGTCATATAATAATTTTATGTTTAACCCTTTAAAGAACTGCCAGACTGTTTTCCACAGAGGCTACAGCATTTTTAATTTCCACAGGCAGTACATAAGGGTTCCAGCTTCTCAACATGCTCATCAATACTAGGTATTATCTGTCTTTTTTATTATTGCCATCCTTGGAGGTGTGAAGAAGTATCTCAATTTGGTTTTGATTTGAATTTCCCTGATGACTAATAATATTGAGCATCTTTTCATATGTTTCTTGGACATTTGTATATCTTCTTTGGAGAAATGTCCATTCAGATCCTTTGTTCAGTTTTTAACTGGGTTGTCTATTATTGCATTGTAAGGGTTATTGCATTATAGACTTCTAAATACAAGTCCCTTATCAGATATACAACCTATAAATATTTTCTCCCTCTGAATGGGTTGTCCTTTTCCTTTCTTGATGGTGTCTTTTGAAGCACAGAATCTATTTCTTAAGCTTTGCAATAAAATCACTTATTTTTAAAATCATTAAAAGCTGAAAAGACCCAGTTATACTTTAATGGGGTGAAAATTACCTGCTATCATGTATATGTAACATTTGGAGATGGTTAATGTGATCATGGGGACAGAGTCTCTTCTTGAAAGCCAAGGCTTACTGTACTAAAGATAGGAGGTAAGGTTAATTTTGAGAGATAAAAACTATATGCCAAGAGAGTAGAACAGGCAATGTTTATATAGCTCAATTGGGTGCATAGGAAAGGTGAAATAGTAATGTTAAAGAATAAGGCAACACGGAGATAAAATGTGATTAAGTAGGGAGCTATAGAGAGGACACACTGGAAAACCGAGGACTCATAAAGAAGTTTGTTTCTTTAGGATTATTAGGAAAGTGTGAAACATAGTAAGTTATAACTGACAGGTAAATATGATAATACAATGGCATCACAGACCTGTGTGGATTATGTAAGAGCCCCTCATTCCTCCTTATTTTTATTCTTTAATAAATATTTTAAAGAGGACTACATATGCATTGGTTAGGTTTAAATCTCTGGCAGATGTCATGGATCTAGGTCTAAATCAGTTCAAACTCTCAATCTCTGGCAGGTTCCTAAAACCAGTAAGAATCACAAAGTTACACTAGATAACAGTAAAAAGGAATTCTCCTTAAAGGTCATTTGTGTAAGTCAATTGGAGTGACCCATTCTCAAACTAGTTTGGCTGTTTTTGTTTAGAGGCTATTAAATGAATCAAAATCTAATAGAGGAGAATAAAAAAGATAAGGCCCTGTTATACAGTACATGACATGAAAGCCAAGAGTTTTCAATGCTAACATGTAGTATTAAGAAAATAGCTTATTTACCCAAAACATACCTTCCACTCTGAAGCTGGATGTGGAGGGTGGTGAATGGTTCTGTACGAATAAGATAGTGCATAACCCCAGCAGAATTTGAATAGTGAGTACCATAATGAAATTTATCAATAGTTCCCATGGGATCCTCAAAATTTTCATATCTAAAAAAAGAAACTAAACTTTTGTAACCACAACAGTAATATTAAATTAGGAGGACATAAGGTTGTATTGCATTGCTAGAAACATTCTTTTTAAGAAGTCCCTGTTAATATTCATTGTTTACATATTCATATCATCACACCAAGTTAATAAATGAAAAACAATTCTTTTTTTTTCCTGAAAGTAGTATCACTAGAAACAGGATTCTGGGATAGTTTCATATTATGCAATAATATGTAGTTGCTGTAGATAAATTAGAAAACACAGAGAACCAAAAAAGGGGAAACTTAAAATCAAGCGCAGAGATAATTAACATTAACATTCTGATGAGTATCTGTCACCCTTAATGTATAAGTTAATACACAAATATATTTCAATATAAAAGTGCTATACATAATATATTGTTCACAACCTATTTTTTCATTAGTTATTTTCTACTTATGTCTTTCCAAATGACTGAGTAGTCTACTTTTTAACAGTACCTGGTATTTATTTATTTTTTTTTTAAAGATTATTTATTTATTTATATATTTGAGAGAGAATGAGAGAGAGCACATGAGAGGGGGGAGGGTCAGAGGGAGAAGCAGACTCCCTGCCGAGCAGGGAGCCCGATGTGGGACTCGATCCCGGGACTCCAGGATCATGACCTGAGCCGAAGGCAGTCGCTTAACCAACTGAGCCACCCAGGCGCCCCCAGTACCTGGTATTTATAACAGTAACATATATGAATTTATGACAATTTAACTATTTCTTTAGTTTTAGATACAAAGGGTTGTTTCCATTTTTCTGCTACTGTAAGCAAAGTGATAATGAGACATCCCTTTGTGGCCAAGGTAATGAAAGAAAATATAGAGGATCGGTCAAGAATTATGGAAATGAATGCCTAACAATTAAAGGATAAAGAAGGTTGGATAGGAAGGAAGATGATGAATAGGAAGACCTAAAGCAGATAATAAGGAAAGGATATATATATAGTGATTCTGTAAGCACTACCACTGTGTAATTGTTTTGAATGGTGGTTTGAATACTGACATCTGAATTAGCGGGTATAAAATCTGAGTAAGAACACTTTTTTGGAGGAAATAAACACTAAACTTTTCAAACCAAAACAGTAATTAGTTCATCGAGTTGAGGCCAATTTCCTTTTACATAGGAATCATTAATATTTAGGGGAATAAAAGCTTTCAGGTCAAAGTCATCTGCATCTATGCAAAAACATATACTACTGAAATTTAAAACAATATTTCCTGTGGAACGGTATTTTAAAAAGCTTGTTTTTTTGTTATTGTCAGAAAGTTTGACTAATGGTAGTGAGGTAACATATACACAGCAGAATTCCACTAGTAAATCAAATCAAGTATCAAATACTACAAAAAGTCCTAAGATAGATTTGCAAATAAAATGAAAAAAAAAATGTACAGGGACGCCTGGGTGGCTCAGTCAGTTAAGCGTCTGCCTTCGGCTTGGGTCATGATCCCAGGGTCCTGGGATCGAGTCCCGCATCGGGCTCCTCGCTCAGCGAGGAGCCTGCTTCTCCTCCTGCCTGCCACTCCCGCTGCTTGTGCTTTCTCTCTCTCCCTCTAATAAATAAATAAAATCTTTAAAAAAAAAAAATGTACAATCTACTCTCAAGTAAATCTACACTATTTGTTTGCAAAGTAGTTTTTTGCCCTTATTATTAGAAGTCATAACTGACAATTCATCCACAATTTCACATGGAGAAAAAGGGAAATTAAAATTATTCTTTTACCTGTCAGCAGCTTGCTTTGAATAAAAAAAAAATTTGTAAGGCATTCACAGGATAGATCATAAATATATAGAATTATAAAAATTCCTTTCCTCATTAAAAGACAGCAACTTTCTACACATTTCACTATATTTTATTTATTCACATTATTTGTGAATCATAGGTTAGTATTAATTTTATATCTACCAAAATACTGTATTAAATTAAGGGTATTTTTGCATGTTAGATTAGGAGGTTAATAAGTCTAAAATATCTGGGAAGAAAAATTACCTTTCAGCACATACAAACTGAAAAGAAACTCTAAACAAAGTCAATTGAAATTTGGCAAAGAAGTGAAATAAACAGACTATAGTTAAGATACTTGAGGGACAATGATGTATTTTCAAGAAGACATAGTGAAGGGATTATCAGACTGATTACCAAAAATCGCTGTGCATTTAAAAAAAAGTAACAGCTGGTTGGCCATAGTAGAAATCAATGCAAATTCAAAATACCTTAAAAAACGATGGGTATCTTTCAAAAGGGATAAAAGGCACTTACTTTTCTCGCATGGCTTTGGCATTTTTATCATTAACTACTCCAATTGGTTTGCAAAGATCTCGAAATACAGATGGGTTATTAAGGTCCAACTCTTCTGACGTATAATCTTGTAAAATCCAGGGAAACTAAAAGAGCCACAATTTACAATTTAGACATCCCTTTCCAGAGAAGCTACTATCCCTATATGTAACATCAAATGCTTATCTAAAGACAAAAAGGAATAGTCTTTAAAAATATTTTTCCCTGTTTCAAATGTTTATTCATCTTCAGTTCCATAACCAGAAACATTATTTCCTATAATTCCACTGGAATATTTTCAACGAAGTGGAAAAAAAAGTTTTTATTATTTAATTACTCTTCATGTTTATATACTTTTTGAAGATAGCATGTAGAAAATATACAAAAGGCAAAAACAGTTTTTGTATCTTTTTTAAAGATGAAAAATCATCTTACACATACATTTTGGGTATTATAAAACTGAAAGTCAATCCCATATTTATAAGATTTCTATAAAACTTACCACAGGATACTGCGCAAGGTCATTATAGGTTCGTCCTGCCATTGTATTTATTTGAATGAGGTAGTCAAAATTGGATATCTCTCTGTTCACCCATTTCTAGATAGTACAAAAAGCAAAATCCAAATTAACTTAAATTTTTAGAAGTTAGTAACTATTATTGATAGTATTAACATAATCTTTTGTTCCCATAATCTTGATCATCTTACTAATAAAAGGAATGGGGCTTTAAAAAAGGCTTAAACCAATAAACATTTCCTAAATTTCCTTCCTTTTAAAAATTGATCTTTAGAAAAGGAAGAGAAAATTAAACATAAATCTTTTATTATAGTCAAAAAATTCACAAGAATTCTTTTTTCCAATTAAGTTATTTTATTTAAATATCTTAAAAATGTCAATTTTAGGACTGTCCAACATTGAAAATTTTGTTATAAATTGAAATTTTCAGAAGTGCACATATTAAAAAAAAGCATCCTAAAGTACTAAAATATCTATAAATTTTAAATAAATATTATCTTACCTATTCTCAGAGAACTGCCTTGCTAGAACAACAGTAGACGAGATTTTGCTACATTAGATATAAAATTTTCTAAAGAAAAACATAACCACTATTTTCTTTTAATCACTAGCCTGCTAATTACTCTACACAGTTTGGGTATGCTGAAGAATTTTGCTGACAGATTAATATTCACCTTTAAGTTTACTGTTTTGCCTTACGCAAAAGATATACTTATGGGAATGGTGAGAAATGAATTTATAATATATATACATATATTTTATAGAAAGCCCAATTAAAATTATTCTTGAGTGCTAACTTGAGAAGTACTTTAACAAATAAAGTTTATTCCACAAAAAAAACAGGAAATGTATTCCATTAAATAAAGCTTATTCCATAAGCAATATGAAAGAATTGCTGATAGCTTTTGAACAAGAGCAACACTTAAGATTATGATTAAAGCATATATAAGAGGGAAGAGAGATTCAGGAGGCAGAGACCTGAATTAGGAGACTACTGACAGTCCTGGAAAGCAAAAATAACAATGGTCTTTCCTTGGATGTTGGTAGTAGAAATTCAAGATATACTGGGATACAGGTGAGGATAAAATATACAAGAGCATTAATTAGATTTGGCTAATAGATGAACGGATTTTTTTTTTTTTTGCCTTTTTTTCCCATGGGGTCTTTTGTATTTTCCCACTTTTTACCTCATGCATAGATTAATTTTATTATTAGAAAAACCCAACAAACCCACCTGTTATATTTTAAAAAGATAAAAGTATTAAAATAGAATTCGTAAGATATGCCCATAAACTAAATGGTATGGGAGCTGGAGGACAGGGTACTGTTTTAGTGAAACAGAAAGATTCAAAGATAATTCAACAAATCAATTTGAATGGAAGAATGGTTATAATAACCAAAATAAAATAAGCAGAAGAGGAAGTTTTAGGCAAAAGCCTGAAATATAATATGAACATTAAAACAGTGACTGTTAAAATTTCCTACCTGTGTCAATCCTGATGCTTTGAATAATTCCTGTGGTGATCTGGTTCCATAACTATTTGGAGAATGAAGTGACAACAGTCTGCTATATACTTTGTTTCTAACCTATAAAAAACAGCATTTTACAGTTTAAAAATTGATCAAGACAAGCTGGGATTATGGCTTTTGTAACTGCTTTAGTGAAATATAATTCACATACCACAAAATTTACCCTTTTGAAGTATACAAATCAGTGGGCTTTTTCTGTATATTCAAAAAAGCTGTGCAAACATAAACATTATCTAACTCTGGAACATTTTCACCATCCTTGAAAGAAACTTCATACTCACTAGCCATCACCCTCCAAAATTCTCACTCCCTCTCAACCCCTGATAACCACTAATCTACTTTCTGCCTCTACAAATTTGCCTATTCTGGACATTTCTCATAAATAGATTATTATGGTTTTAACTACTCTACTAGGTTTGGTGAAGTCAAGCCATATATTTTTTGAAAAAGTTATAGTGTATAATGGAATGATCAGCAGATACTGAATCAGAAAACTAGCTTGAGTACAGTTCAAATTTAGTCCTGTCATTTACCAATCATACTGGAAAATCAATTAATTTACTGAGTTTCATTTGTACATTAAACATAATAATCTCTACCCTTACAGTTTTCTGAATTCTTCAAGGCTATACAAATGTAAAGTAATAAAATTCATCTTTGAACTTCAGTTTCCTCATCTATAAAAAAAGCAGTAACAGAATTTGCCACAGTGAATCTGAAGGTTTTTATGAAGATTAGAACCATATATAAATTTGCTTTAAAAACTATAAAGTTAGACAAATGTACAGTATTCAACAGAAGCATGGTTGGTTTAATTACATGACATACCTTCCTAAAAAACACAAGTTTTGTATATTCCTATGGGGAAATTTTATTTTAATAGTAAAAAAAGTATTCTTTTGTAAAAAAAACAGAAATGCCCTTTAAACGTCTGAACAAAATCATCTATAAGTAAACCTGGATCCCACAGATGAACAGAAACTTAGTTACTGACCGTGCTAATCCAGATTGTCTCAGAAGCAAATGAAAAAAATAGAATTGAATATTCAAAGGATTTTATTAGGAGAGATGCCTGTGACAGAAAATGAAGAGCTAAGCAAGACTGGGAGAGCTATCAGAAAATTATGCAAGTCTGACCTCAAGTGAGTAACAGAGGGAAGGAAGGTTGGGGGCAAGCATCCCAAGTAACATGCTGAAGATACACAGCTACTGGTGGAGCTAGTATCTAGACCCAAGTAATCTGGCTTCAGGGATAAGGTCTTAACCACTTACATTATTCAAGAATTTACTCTATTCCCGGAAAAAATACCTGCCCCGTTATTATTTAACTGAACCCAACCCAATTTCATAAATCCCAACATATTATATATATTATATATTATTTCACAACTGGATACTGTGAGGTACCTATTGGCTGACACCCAATATTTTACTGATTTATCTGCTCATATATAAAAACTGAAAACAAGCACCCTAAAAATACTCAAACATAAATCCCAACAAAATTCATTTACTACTTAGCTCCTAAGGCATATACTTTTTCCTCTAATATTTTGACTTCACAAATGAGTAGAGTCCAAAGTTTCATTATAGCTCACCAGCTGGAAAATTACTTCAAGCTAACACTCTGGGACTTCCAGAAAGGTAACATCTTACATACCTCTTTTTTGAAATTGAGAAAGTAGTTGGATTGGTCAACATGAAAAATCTCAAGAGCTGACCTCCTTAAATTGTAACGCCGCAGATGAATCTCTCGAACTTGAGAATGAGGCCACTTGAAATCAAAGCCTACTCCTGAAAACAGAAGAAATCTTGTGATGAAGGTACCATATGAAGTTACTCATGTTATGCAGAAAGTATCTCCTAGTTCCTGACAAAAGAGCCACTTAGGGAAAAGGAATCAAATTTCTATTTCACAGAAATAATTTGTTAAATTTAGTGGATGTTTAAACGGTTTCTTTCATTTATTTTATTTTTTTTAAAGAGAGAGAGAGCACGCACATTGTGTGTGGGGGGAGGGGTAGAGGGGCTGGGAGAGAGACAACCTTAAGTAGTCTCCACATCCAGCATGGATCTGACTCGGGGCTCAATCTCAAAACCCTGAGATCATGACCTGAGCTGAAATCAAGAGTAGGATGCGTAAATGTCTGAGCCACCCAGGAGCCCCTAAATGGTTTAAAACTTAAAAAAAAAAAAAAAAAAAAATTCTATAGCTATTCTACTTCCTTCTCATGAGAACAGAGAATCATCCTGATTATTATATCTCAAAAACATTTTTCCTTTTCTCTTTATATTGGCATTTTAGATTTAAATATCCTTTTTATTTTCAGATAAAGGATTAGGTGAGAAGCCGATGGAAATAAATGTACAAATAAAATTAAGATTGCATTTTATAACAAGTTTACAGCAATCTCCTCTCACTAAACCTTTTAAAAAACATTAAAAAAAAAAAGCATTCCCTTTAATACACTGTTAAATAATAAAACCGAATCCCATACTGACTTTCCATTTCTCCTTTTAGATGACAGACCACAATTCCAGTCCTATCTTATTTTCTTCTCATTAATATTTGATAAACTGGATACTTAACTATTGAACAACAGAAATTATTCCCCCAGAACTCCTCACCATCTTCTTTTTCAATACTGCAATCATAGAAGTAAATGTGTTGAGTAGTGATTTCTAATCTGCCAGGAATTACGTCAATTATTGTAATGAGTTCACAATCTTCCGACAAGACCAATTTTTCTTTTTGATCCTGTTCTTCTTTCTCATCACTGTAAAAACAAAAATCAACCAAACAAAAACCACCCAACAATGTATTCTGTGTAAATGGAAATGAGTATCAAGAAAGCATATTTGAATTACTAAAAAAAATTTCACTGCATATTAAATTACTTAAATACTGTCCAAATGTTATTGCCCAATAACTCAGTTTCCAAAAAAAAAGTTTTACATTTTAATTGTATGTGACTCATTAAAACAAAATATAGTGAATCTTTTAAGAGTACTGGCAGAGAGGGCGCCTGGGTGGCTCAGTTGGTTAAGCGACTGCCTTTGGCTCAGGTCATGATCCTGGAGTCCCTGGATTGAGTCCCGCATCGGGCTCCCTGCTCGGCAGGGAGTCTGCTTCTCCCTCTCCCACTCCCCCCGTTTGTGTTCCCTCTCTCGCTGTGTCTTTCTCTAACAAATAAATAAATAAAATCTTTAAAAAAAAAAAAAAAGACTACTGGCAGAGAACAATTCAAACATGCAGCAGTACTAGTCATGTGATTTTAGTTATATTTGGGAGACATGAATTGAGCAGGAGAATATATCAATCTGTGAATAAAGGACTGCATCATTAGTGATGTTTTATAAATAATTATCAGAAGCACTAATTATGATTGATTCTTAAACTGTAAAATAAGACTTTTTTTTTTTTTTGACTTAGAGACAGCGAGAGAGGGAACACAGGCAGGGGGAGTGGGAGAGGGAGAAGCAGGCTTCCCGCCGAGCAGGGAGCCCAATGTGGGGCTTGATCCCAGGACCCTGAGATCATGACTCGAGCCAAACGCAGTCGTTTAACCAACTGAGCCACCCAGGCACCCTAAAATAAGACTTCTTGGTAATTTCTAGGTAATTTCCCCAAACAGTAGGACTGGGGATGATACAAAGACCTACTACTGCAATTATTACTTAGAGTGAAGCCACCTTATATTAAGAGAACTGTTATACTTTATTTTTATTGGGGAAGATAACTGGGAAGGGTGTGTCTTCTAGTGGCCTAGGTGATTCTGACTGCCAGATATAGAAATGGGAACTCCTACCACTCACAGAATGCTATTCAAGTAAATCTTTCAAGCCAGCTGCTTCCTGGTCCTAGGTATTTCACATCTGCCCCATTTCCAGGACAGCAATGACTAAGTCCAATTTCTTCCCCCCAGTGGAGTTCCAGGAGGAAGCTCTACAAGTATCACCAGCCTAATTGGTGATATTGCAACCCACGACTTAAAGCTAAGCTATAAAAAAAATATTAAAAATTAAGAATGTTTTCCTAAACAGTGAAATTCCAATATTTACAGTGATGAAATAGAGATATAAGTGACTTAAAAGAGCAAATAGTCTGAAGGTTATTTGTATTTTATAAAAGAAAGGGTTTGGTTTTTTAGTTTGTTATTAATGAGACTGACATATTCATTGAATTCACTACTCATTAAAGTAAAAAAAAAAATTCGTTTTAAAAGGCTGACTAAATAATCTACCAAAGATAGCAACCTATATAATTTACCCTACCCAGTTCCCTGAAAATTATCAAGGAAATCTTAAAAATTATCAAAATTATATGAACCTGTTTATGCTAACAAAGTATACTATTGAACCTGGTCAATTTGTAATACTAAAATTCAGTTCCAAAGAAATATATGCCAAGTGTAGCTTATAATCCATAAAAAAGTGATGTTCAGAATAAATTACATATCTGGGTCTTAACTACTCATTTTTGGCTGAAGGTGAGGCTTTATCAGAGAAAGTAAAAGTCAGGGCAGATGTGTAAATCATGAAATTTGAACACATTCCCTAAAGCACACACAGTTCCACTGGCAAAGAATGGCAGTCTTCTGGAACAAGGGGTTTAAATACAACCAACTAACTGATTACTGGCTGACCACCAAGCTATACTAACTTTAAAAGGCCAGCCTTTTTTTTTAAAAAAGACTTTTTGTTTAAACACAAAACAAAGTAAAACAAAAACCCATTCCATGAGTACAGACATCACTGGCAACAGGCAGCAGGTAAGATATACTCCACAGAATTAGTCCAGGAAAGTCGCTAAACAAAAATACCACCACAATAACCACCATCAAGGAAGGGGATCAGAAACCAGAGTGGTTACAATTTACTATCTAAAATGCACAGTTTTCACAAAAATTATGAAACGGTAAAGTATGGGCCATAAAGACAAAAGCAGTAAAAAGAAACTGTTGTTGGGGGACCGCAGATGTTCAACTTAGCAGACAAAGACTGTAAAGTAGCTATCATAAATACATTAAAAGAACTAAACGAAACTATGTTTAAAGAACTAAAGTGCATTATGGCAACAAAGCCTAGTCAAATAGAGATTGTCAATTAAGAGATAGAAATTACATACATATCTGTAAAAAAAGAAGCACAAGGAAAATCGTTGAATCAAAAAGCATGATAACTAAATGAAAAATTCACCAGAAGGACACAACAGCATTTCTGAACTTGCAGAAGAAAGACCCAGGTCTCTTGGCGACAGTTCAAAACAAACTGTCCAATCTGAAGCACACAAAGCAGGATGAAAACACCTCAAAGGGTTATCATCATGGGAAACAAAATGTTTTATAAAGGGACTTCCAGAAGAAGACAGAGAAAAAGAGCCAAACATATATATTTGAAGAAATAATGCCTGACAACTTCCCAAATAATAATAATAATAATAATCTACACAACCAGGAAGATCTTATGAATATCCGAAGAGATCTACATATGGACATAAAGCCAAGGTGTTGAAAGGCATGGACAAAAAATATAACAATACAGGACACTAAAAGGTAGTGGTATGACATAGTCAAAATGCTGAAAGGAAAAAAATAAACTTGTCCACTAAGAATTGTATATCCAACAAAACTATCCGTTAAAAAAGAAAGTAACGGTTCTCAGGCAACTGGATAATCACATAAAAAAAGAATGAATGTGGGGCGCCTGGGTGGCTCAGTCGTTAAGCGTCTGCCTTCGGCTCAGGTCATGATCCCAGGGTCCTGGGATCGAGTCCCACATCGGGCTCCCTGCTCGGCAGGAAGCCTGCTTCTCCCTCTCCCACTCCCCCTGCTTGTGTTCCTGCTCTCGCTACCTCTCTGTCAAATAAATAAATAAAATCTTCCAAAAAAAAAAAAAAAGAATGAATGTGGACTCCCACATCATACCACATATAAAAATTAACTAAAAATGGATCAAAGACCTAAATGTAAGAGACAATATATAAAACTCCTAGAAAATGTAAAACTTTTGTGCATCAACGAAATGAAGGAAAACACATTCAAGGGAGAACATTTTCGCAAATCACACATCTGATAAGGCATTTGTATATAGAATAAAGAACTGTTATAACTTAATAACTAAAAGATAACCCAATTAAAAATGAGCAAAGTATCTGCATAAATATTTATATATTTATAAATATATAAAAAGATATATAAACAGTAAGTACATGAAAAGATGCTCAGCATCACTGGACATTAGGAAAATGCAAATTAAAATCACAAGGTACCATTTAAAATCAGATAGTATAATAAGTAAACACACAGAATACAAAAGTTGGGGTAGATGTGGAAAAATTTAAACCCCAGAATGTTAAATGGTGTAGTCATTGTGAAAACAATTTTATAATTCCTTAAATAAACATAGAATTACTATATGCCTAACAAATTCACTCCTAGGTATATACCCAATATAACTGAAAACATATGTTGACACAAAGATTTGTACATGAATATTCATGAAGTATTATTTATAAAAGCCAAAAAGTAGAAATAACTATATGTCCATCAATTGATGAATAAACAAAAGTGGTATATGAATGAACCTTGGAAACATTATCCTGAATGAAATGAGGACACAAAAGGCCACCTATTTTAAGAAATAAATGAAATGTAGAAAACAGGCAAACCCAATAAAGACAGAAAGCAGATTAGTGGTTTCCAGGGGATGCACAAAGGGGAAAATTGGGAGTGACTACTAAAAAGCATAAGATTTCCTTTCAGAATGATGGACATGTTCTGGAATTAGTGGTAATGTTCACTCTGTGAATATACTAAAACCCATGGAACAGTACACTTTAACATAGTAAATTTTATATTATACGAATCTTAATTTTCAAAAAACAGAACTCTATTTTTTAAAAAGAATCCAAAATGAAAGCAAAAACAAAGACTTCCAAAGATAACAAAGACTGAGAGAATCTGTGGCTACCAGACCTTCCTTATAAGAAAACAAAAGAAGTCCTTCAGGCTGAAAGGAGATGACACCAGATGTAATCTGAATGTTCACAAAGAAACAAAGTATATAAGTATGGTAATTATCTTCCCTTAACTAATTTAGACAAACGCATAAAACAGTAACTATTAAACTGTATTGTTGGGAAAAGAGTCCAAGATGGCGGAGGAGTAGGAGAACTTAATTTTTGTCTTGTCCCAGGAATTCAACTAGATAGCTACTAAATCATTCTGAACACCTCTGAACTCAACCAGAGATCTAAAAAGAGAATTGTGGCAATTTTACAAAGAGAAAAGTGACCACTTTCTGCAAGAATGACAAGATGGAAAAACTCAGCTCAAAAAAGAGAACAAGAGGCAGTACTGACTGCCAGGGACCTAATCAGTATGGACATAAGTGAGATGTTGGAACTAGACTTCAGAATAATGATTATAAAGATACTAGCTGGGCTTGAAAAAAGCAAAGAAGACACTAGAAAATCCCTTTCTGGAGAAATAAAAGAACCAAACTCTAACCAAGTCGAAAACAAAAAGGCCCTTAATGAAATGCAATAAAAAATGGAAGCTTTAATTGCTAGGATAAATGAGGCAGAAGAGAGATTTAGTGATATAGGAGACAAAATGATGGAGAATAAAGAAGCTGAGAAAAAAAACAACTGGATCATGAGGGGAGAATTTGAGAGATAAGCAATACCAAGGAGCGAAACAATATTAGAATAAATGGGATTCCAGAAAAAGACGGGGGAGGGGCAGAAGGTATATTGGAACAAATTATGGCTGAG